TACTTCCTGCTGAAAAGGGACGCTGTGGGTTTCAGGGTGAAGATCTTCTCTCACTACTCTAAAGGGCCCCTTTGGCAGTAGGAAACACATAGACTATTATAGATTTTGGAATTTAGATGCACTCTTATTGATTGTGCTTGGCCGTACATGTTCATATCCTTGAAGTAAATCCCTTAATCTTTTTCTCAGCATTATTTTTTTGCTAAGTGATGCCTTTTGTGAACGTTTACAAAGCAGATTGATTGGTTTTCCATGTAACCTTTCATACACATTTTGTTTCTATATTAATTACAGTGCTACAATTTAACATCATTTTTCCTGCTTCCTCCCTATTCTCATTTCTATAAATCGTCTTATCCTGTGCCCTCCTTGCTTTCTGAGTTTTATCCTTTGGCAGATGTTCCTCTTCTGACCTTATATGGTTGGTGATGCTACAGAGTGTGTTCCTTCCTGGTGTTATTCTTTACCTTATTGACTTCTATCTGAAAGTTGGGGGATGTGGTTTCAGGTGATATATTTTAATTCCAAGCAAAATACTGTTACAGAATTGTTTCCCTCATCTTACTGAGAATTGATTCTTACATATGTGCTGAGTAGAAATGCTTTATGAGATAATTTTTTTTTAAAGTGCCTCCCGCAGAATGTAGAAAAAATTTGCTTCTTGAAAACATGCAGAGCCTAGTGTTCAAACTAATTTTACATGTTCACTACAACCCATAGTTGACCCCTGTTGAGTTTTCAGTGGGAATAGATTACTCATCTTTCTCCTATGGAGCAGCTGACAGATTTGAACCACCCATCTTTGTTTTGACAGCACAGTTTCCTCCTTTGCAATTTATTGCCTCTGAAATCCTTCTAGAGAGACCATACCGAGTCCACGGCACACAACAACAATAAGCCACCAGAGGTCCCTAATTTTATAAAACTACATTAAAGCCAGCATATAATAGCAGACCTGAGGATAGTATGAGGGATCCCTTAAATTTTGAAAAATGGTTCCAGTTTCTAAGTAGAGGCATAATCTTTTTTTTTTTTTTTTTAATTAATTCATTGATCTCTAAAAATCCTTCCATTAGGATAACACCATGTCACATTTATAGTTTCCGTATCAGGAGCTTTCAGAAACTTCACTATCATCTAGTAAATCTCTGTATTTCAAGAATAGCCTTTCCTGGAAAAATCCCCCAAATAGGTCATTTACTAATAAAATGAGTATGCTATTGTTTGCTGTAGAGCAGGACTGACCCGTAGCTAACACTCTGGGTTTTTGGAGGTAGTAAATAAAGATTGCCCATCTTTCTCCCACAGGACAGCTAGTGGATTTAAACAGCGTACCTTTTTATTGGCTGTATAATTTGTCACTAGTAAGCCACAAGAGCTCCATAAATACAGTTATTTTTTTTTTTTATCTGTATCTGTTCCTTCATCAAAATAAAAACACTGGTCTTCATTGTTGAGTAAGCATATCTATAGACCCTTTACAGTCCAACCTACTCTCTTAACACAGGCATGTAATATAGTGGGTAGACCTTTGTTTTGATTAGCTTTCTTTTAGATCTTTAAAATACTCCAGTACAAAACTTATTAAAATATGAAGACAAAGGAAAGCAAAAAAACACAAAGTTGTTTTCTTTTCATGCACACTATATACTGATTTTTCAGGGCCCACGTATCACAAGGATATATATATTAACTTTATCCTCATCAATACACAAATGTTTGTCTTGCTTCCAAAGCCATCTCCCTTTTCCCCCCCAATTTATGATTATCACAAAAGTACATTTCATAAGTAAAGAAAGGAGTAAACATATTTAGGACATTTATAATCCAGTTAAGTTCACTGTGTTTTTATTATTTAAGGAAGGAAGGTAGAGGTGGGGTCAGGTTTCAGAAGATAATAAAGCCAAGGATGGTATATCTTTTCAGAATTCTGATACTCTCTTATCATTTTAATCTGTTTTGTCACCACCCTAGCCTTAAATACTAGTCAAGATGAATTCAAAATAGTTGACATTTTAAAAGGGAATAGAAATATTTTTCAATTAAGTTTATTAACTTATATGTTAATGGTGTCCTTTAATTGCCTTCAAGTAGTTCTTGAACTTCACCTGCCATTCTGACTTAACTTTTTTTACTAGTTGCTGTAAGGAATATGACTGGTCACTCAGCAATGTAGGCCTTATCACAGGGCAATACACTAAATCCAGAGAAGTACCAGGGAGCTACATCTCTTTGCTGTGTTCTCCAGGCTATCCCTTCTGTGGACCAAAAAAAAACTGGATAGAAAAGAACTAAAGAACTTCAGCAGTTAATTTTGGTTTGTGATCTGGATGGATAGAATGTGTAGATAGAATTGCAAGACTGAAATCCAAATACTGCTTGAAACTGGTCGTTTAATCCATTATTTCCTATCTTGCTTTAAATTATCCTGAGTACTACAAAGGCACTCTGGTGGCCTAGTGATACAGAGTTGCACTGCCAACTCAAAGGCACACAGTGAAAATCTACCAGCTGATCTGCAAAGGAAAATAAAAATGGAAATTCTTCTCCCGTGAGGTATATTAAAAATACAGTGTAGTGTTCGCTTCGGCAGCACATTTACTAAAATTGGAACGATACAGAGAAGATCAGCCAGAAGTGTTCCATCGGACGGACGGATGGACGGACGGACGGACGGACGGAAGGAAGGAAAATAAATAAATTAATTAATTAATTAATAAATTAATAAATAAAATAATAAATGAAAAAAAATGCAGTGTATTGTTGTTAGGTGTCATTGTGTTTATTACAATTCAAAGTGACCTGGGCACAACAGATCTGAACCTTGCCCTATCCTGGCCTGCCATCATAATCTCTTGATATGTGTGAGTCCATTGTTAATCCTTCTGTCAATCTTGTTGAGAATCATCTCTGACCACTCCACCTTTCCCACCTTGATGTCTGTTTGCAAGAACTGGCCCCTTCACAACAGCATGCCCATAGTATGAGGTGAAACTTCACCATCTTAGCCTCTTAGGAGCACCCTTCTTCCAAGACAGACTTAAATAGAATTTAATATTATGTAAATTATGAAACAAATTTTAAAGTATAAAAAATATATAATTTAGTCCCAGAATAGGATTACAATTTCCTTAACACATTGCAGCACACTTTCAAGAGTCCACGGCACACAACAACAATAAGCCACCAGAGGTCCCTAATTTTATAAAACTACATTAAAGCCAGCATATAATAGCAGACCTGAGGATAGT